TCTTTTACCCTATCTTGACACCCTGGCAGATCCAACTTTCCAACAAGATAATGCCCGACTTATTCCCAATTGAGTACGTGTGGGATATGATGGGTAGGAGATTGCTCAATTTGCAACGTCCTCCTCAGACTCTAGAAGCACTTCGAGAGGAGTTGATGGTTGCCTGGAATGAGATACCACAGGAGGACATTGACCACCTGATCAGAAGCATGCCTAGGCGCGTTGGATAATGCGTAGCACATCAGGGTGCATCCACACATTATTAAAGGTCAAAGGGCTTTAAAGCAGTGCAATCATTTTGAAATTTTTATCATTTACTTATTATGCTTCATTAAGTACTTATACAAAATTTTATTAAAATAAAACCATTTAAACTGGGTGTTCGGATTTATATGTCACTTAGTATATTTGGAATTGGATCGCGTCTTAGCATTATATACATGAATAAGAATCTTACCGAGTAAATATTCTCAATTTATGGCATTATTAAGCATTTTATATAAAAATACACAAGCAGCGAAGTTTCTGCGCTTCTCCAAGTTACATACGTTATATCTGCTAAGTAATAGATCATCATGCCTGAAGCCAACTTCTGGTTACGTACCATCTTCCTTGTGCCACAAATATTTCACAAACCGCCTCTGAATACGTTCAATTTTGTTCCAGTGAACTTCATGAACAGGATACCATATTATAGAACAGTATTCAATTTTGGATCGAACAAATGAATTATATAAAGAGATCATGGTATACACATTATTGAAATACCTACAATTTCTGATGATGAAGCCCAAACTTTTATAGGCCTTGCTAACAACAGCATCAATATGAGAAACAAATGTAAGTTTGGTATCAAATAATATACCTAAGTCATGAAACTCTTCACAGAAGTTAAGTTGCGAATTATCAGTGTTATATATGAATCTGATTCTAACAAGTTTGCGCGTAATAGATATAGTGTAGCATTTATCAGCATTAAGGTACAGCTTGTTACGGTGACACCACTTATTTAGGTTGCTCAAGTCGTTTTGCAATATATACATGGTTTCAATTTTACAAAAACTCTTCAACTCATCTGCATATAGAAGACAGCTACTGTGTAGCTCCCCAATAACATCATCAATGAAAATTAGGAAAAGCAAGGGGCCAAGAGCAGACCCTTGAGGTACACCGGAAGAAGGTATAATCTGAGTGGAGGTGAAGCCCCTGTATTCGACTTTCAAGCATCTGTTTGTAAGATAAGATTTGAAAAAATTCAAGAATTGATGGGTCAACCCTCGCGTAGCTAATTTCTTTAACAAAATACCGTGATCTAGCTTATCAAAAGCCTTTGAAAATACAACGTAAGCAACGTCTACTTGGAGTCTATATGTTGTCCTTTACTTCTCATATCGTAGAATGTATTCCTAATTTCTGGAACTTACATTTCTACCAACAGGTCTTAATGTTTTGCGACTGAAAAGCTTAGGAAATCGTTGCAAATAATAAGAGTCTAGCTTTAAGCAGCTATATATCTTTTCAAGGCCAACCAATAACGGCTTCCTTCTAACAATATCACGGCGCATTAGAAAGTTGGTAGTTAACTTCTTTTCCGCGAAACAATAACATCAGTATGACGGGAGGTTTTGTGGTGGGAGGTGTTGGGGGGCAAGGGGGGCATTTCCAAGGTCCCCTTGCCAGCGGGGGGCCCGTTCAGGATTCTATTAGCTAATGGCGATTCCCTATGGGACACTCGTCACGCGAATGCGAATGGGTTTCGTCGTAGCTCGGACCGCGCCTCGTTCTTGTGTGCAGCGTTACCGGATTGTGCAGGGACGGACTTCGTGCAGTCGTCGATTTTTATTTTTGGGACAATAAACCGCATTCCTAAAGCATCAATATAGCTATTTTATACTGAAGCCGCTGCGTGGGCAGAAGCCTAAATACCGGGGCATCGCGACTGCTATAAGGAGTTTTAAGGCTCTGTTAATCCGATTTGAGTTTAATTCGTATATGTAGAGTACTGTCATCTCGGATTGATTTTACAGAAGGGAAGATCGTGGTACAATACTCATTAAAATCACTTTGAAACATTTCCACGAATACATCTTAGTTTAACGGCTGCGTTCAAGTAACGTTTGTTTTTATATAGTTTAGGCAATAAGCAAATATTTTGATCACCCGATTAGTTAAACGGCTGATTCATTATATCGGCCTTGTATAAAACCTGTTCCTTGCATGAACGTTGGTAAAACTTTAATAAAATTTTAAATCACTAAATAATGACTAGCTCATAATAAAAAAAAATGTTGTATAAGCTACATAATTAAAAAAAGTGTTACTTAATAAGTTGGTTCCTCCATTAATGTAGTAAATACGGGAACAACAGCTGTTTATTTGTTAGGGCCGTATCGTCTGTCATTCTTACAATTTCAAGACGCCTTTATGGCCGGCTTTATTTTCATAGTATTTTCTCTCCTTCAAACACGCTGGTGTATTTCTAGATTTCTGCTGTTCCGTGTCAGCGTCTGCCATCTCCTATTGTGAGGCTATCTTTTTTTTAAGCTTAAGCAACTTCAGTCCGGAAAAAAATCAATTTTTATCACCCTAAAATTTCTTGAAATTCAAAAAGAAAACATTATCTCAAAATAGAGCGCTGTCTTGGAACAGTAGAAATCTAGAAATACCAGCATGGGTATCATGGAAGAAACCTATAAAACGTCAAAAAAACCGATAAGATGTCATTTTGCAAACTAGGTAGTTTTTAGGGCGCAAACAGTCATTCTACGTTTGCTCACTAGGATCGTTGTGAACGTCCATCTAATGAGGAATCACTCAACTAAACTACACGCATTATTGGTTGCATATGTTTTGTGAGGCCAAATGGTCCTTGTCTGTAGTTTTTATCTCTGAGAAGAAAGTTGGTTGAATAGCAAGATCGCATCTGGATGATTATGTGTATTGGTCTGCATGTGTATAAAATCAGTGAAATTTGCTGTGTGAGAAAATCATTACTGAATATGTTGAATATGACGGGTTATTTATATGTTGTGCTTTCTGAAGAGAGGTTATGTTCAAAGTTATAAATAACGAAAAACTGAGGAGATGTACGGGAAATCATCACCTCGCCCGGCATTGTGTGTAATTACTGTTAGCATGTATATGGCTTGTAATTCGACAGTGTTCAGTGAATATAATTATTTCTTATCTCTCTCATTTGTGAAATTCAGCAAATTTGTATATGTAATTTCCAGAATGGACAAGAAAAAGTGGATGAGCAACTAATTTCTAGCTTTGAATCTCAACTAAGTGTATTTGAGACAACAACCTAATGTAATTTTCATCAACACATACAACTTACAGCTTATACCTCCAGTAATGCCATCTCAAAAGCAGATTTTACATCACATCAGAGCCAAAGATTAATAACAAGCCTCATGATGTTTAGGCAACACGTACAACTAAGTGCTGAGTTAACATCTTGTAATGTAAAAAAACAGCATAATGTCAAAAAAAATCGGCATAATGCCACTTTTGAGATACGTGTTACCTGTACAGGTGTGTGTCTGAAGGACAGGAAAAACTATGGAACAATATGGCCTATAGAATGGTTCCATGACCTGCCCACCTTATTTCTTAATCAATCGGAAAACTAATATCTGGGTTAATTGTGGTGCATTTGTTACTAGGGAAATTTTGCTTACTTTTCTAAGAACTATACTATCACTTAGAGGGAAGTCACAACTTTATGAACATCCTATATACAGGATGCTTTAAAGGTAAGGTAAAACACTCAGTTCAATTTAAATAAACAACATTGCATCAACGCTACTGTTTCTTCTACTAGCATTTTTTAATAATCCTCGCTACTTGGTATATAATGTAGACCAGAGTTCCCCAAACTTTTTGGTGTCGTAGACCCCTTGCCATGTTTTTCCGTGTTGGGTAGACCCCTTACTTACCTGATATTGATTTCCTGTAAATTTCTAACTGCAGTGAAGTTTAGTGTTAAAAACTTAAAGTAAAAACACATGTTAATTTATACATTCATTAATTGAATTTAAATTAAATCTACTCAAAATAAAATTTTGTATATGTTATGTAAAATATACGTAACATTAACTAAACAGGTGTCTGACCAATAAGTGCCCGCATTGGGAATAAGTGCCCGCATTGAAAAAAAATAAGAGGGATAAAATAAAAAAAAAGTGAAAAATAATAAAAAAGAGGTTTTTTACTTAAAATAGTACAATAAGCGAGTTCGTTTATTAATTATAACATAAACGTATCTTCTACAATAATTTCACCGTTAGTTTGATTAAATTCCGCTTCTTATACGTTTAAGTTATCTAAAAATAGTTAAAAAATTAACGAATTTTAGTGTGTACCTATCCTTGAATTTTCAGAATAATTTAAAAAAAAAATATTTTCTATAAAGGGGGTTCTTTAAAAAAATCAATGCGGGCATTTATTGGTCAGACACCAATAAACATAAAATAAACTATAAATAAAATAACATAAGCAATAAGTCAATATTTTTAGTGAGAAGGATGAACCTGATGCTTTAATAATAAATTATCAACATTTGCCGTCAATTTTGTAATCTTAAATCTCCTCGGCTAATGATGTCCAGTCTGTTTCTTTTTTTCGTTAAGAGATTGGTAACAGCGCTAAACCCCCTCTCCACTAGGTATGACGATGGAATGGAAATTAAAAATTTCCTCGCTATATTCCATAATACGGGATAAGTAACGGGTATGTTGTTTTGCAGCCAGAATTCCTGATATCCGTTTTTAAACTGAACCTTAAGTTCTTCGTTTGTACTTAGTTCAGTCAGTTCCTCTTGTATTATCGACGGTGGTATTACCATAGTCAAAATTTCCTCAAACCTAGAATCAAAATCTGAATAGAATTTAAATGTCGAACGTAAGTTGAAACGTCGTCTTCCTGGCAGCTTGTCTGTGACAAATTGGGGAACTGACTTACTTTTCTCCAGCACTCTCAAACAAAATAAAGGTGCAATTTCGTTGCGACGTCCCGCCGCCGCGGTCGACCGCAACTGCCCGCCGCAATGCACTGATATCATTGTTTTCAAATCGACGCATTTTCGTTGACACGTCTCGACCTGTCGGCTAGGCGTTCAGCCGTCGACGGCTGCGTCTTGACTTGACTGCTACAAGGAGCAGTCCAGACGCGGCCGCCGATCATTTTGGTTTCAAAAATGTCCCGAAAAAGAGAATTGGCTTCTGCAGATGAGATTTTAATACGCACGGTGGAGCAATATCCGTGCTTGTATGATCACGAGCACAAAGACTTTAAAGATTTTCAGATCCGTGAAAATTGTTGGAATGACATCGCTTCAGCGTTAGGAAAACGTCGTAAGTACCTATATGCTATTTTTTATTAATTTCAAGTGTACACAACCTACAGTACAGTTTAAAATTGTACACAGTGTGCTTCTACCAACAATATAGTGAATTGTAACATAAAAAATTAACTGCTTAGTCTAAATATGCGGTCGTCCTGCCAATTTAAAGCCCCTTCTTGGACGAAAAAATTCGCGAATTCGTCTCTTATTGCAAAACCATCCGCATTTGCAAATCCTCCAGCATTTCTCAACGGGGTTATATTATCTGGTAGATTCAAACTTACATCGTAGTTGTAATAAGGCTGATTATTTTTTTCCAAAAATGCATCTCTCAGAAGATTGTGCAAGCAACAAGTTACAAGTATGAGTTTATCACACGTTTCTGGCTTAATGGCAATCGGAGTGTAGTAAATTCGAAAAATCTGACACAACAATCCAAAGGCATTTTCAGACACTCTTCTGGCTCTACTCAATCTATAATTGAAAACAGTTTTCTCTTTATCGCCTTTAGCCGCTTGTTTGCTATACGGTTTCATCACACTGGGATGTAATCGGAACGCTTCATCACCGACAATAACGTATGGCAATAGTCTATTTGAACCTGGAAGATTTACACCTGGTTCAAACAACTGACCAGAATATATTTGTTTTCCCATGTCAGATTTCATAAATATGCTACTATCCCCTTCCTTTCCATACGCGCCGACGTCAACAAATACAAATTTACAATTTGCATCTACTACTCCAAGCAAGACCATAGAAAAATATTCTTTATAATTAAAAAATAGTGAACCGCTTTTTTGTGGACAAAAAATTCGAATATGTTTTCCGTCAACAGCACCAACACAGTTGGGAAAATTCCATTTGCTCCAAAATTCCGTTGCATTTTTCTTCAAATCGGTTGCATTTGGTGGGGGCAAAAATATTGGGACCAAATGTTTACTGAGTACTTCTAATGTTTCTTGAATAAGTACGGAGATGTAGCTCGGTGAAATACGGAAAGCAAACGAGAGTGACTTGAAGGTCTCTCCGGTGGCTAAAAACCTGAAAAAGTAATTTATACGCAAACATTTTCACAAATTCACAAATTTCTGTTTCCAGCTGATGAATGCAAATCTCGATGGAAAAACATTCGAGATAACTTTCTTAAACACAAAAGGAAGCAAAAGATAGGAACAGGGAGTGCAGCATCAGCGAAACCGCCGAAATGGGCGTTATTTGAATATCTGAAGTTTCTAGATAACGTGAAATCCGAACGACAGTAAGTTTACTTGGTATTTTTTTATAGAGTTCCGAGTTCACGATCTTTAATTTTAGAAACATCAGTAATGTCAATGAAGCTGCCACCGGCATTGAGGAAAATATAGATAGGGAACTTAGTGAAGAAGAGGTGGACACTTCTCTCAATGTGGATAATGCACTAGTTGATGATGACCTGTCTTCACCGCCACCTTCCGATTATCCGAGGCAGGAGAAAAAACTGCGTCAGAATGCCATCGACAAATCACGTTCTAGTACCCCAGACAGCTATGCAGGTTCAACTTCTTCAAAACGAAGCCAACGCAAAAATCTCTTTTTGGAGAATGTTGAAGAAAGATCCAAACAAAGGATGCAAATGTTGTCTGCTTTAACCCAAAAACCCGAAGATGATGAGATTGATTTATTTTTCAAAAGTATAGCGATGACTGTTAAAAAATTGCCTCCTCATCAAATAGCGAAAGCTAAACTGGGAATTTTGACATTAGTTACCGAATTACAGGCGTCACCGGAATTACATACGAACGAACCAACACGTACCTGTACTTCAAGATCACAACAGAATTTATTAGCGCCTTTAACGTCGGTTTCAACTGATTCCAGCACTCCAAGTTCTCAGGAAAATGTAGTATTAACACCATTAACGTCCGTATCTGTATATAATTCATCTGATATGCAGTACAGTTTGGAAAATATTAGATACGGCTGGACTAACCAGTAACGTTTATTTTTCATGTTCATTGTTTAAGCGTTTGGAGTTTCTTAATAATATAAAATCTTTAAAACTTTGTTTTTTCTTACCTTAACGCCAATGCCAACTTTTCTTCCGGAGATATAGGGTCGTGAACGGTATTTGTGGATTTTTTCTTTAAATCTGTCGATACTATATTCAGAACAAACTGGAACTGTTCCTTATTTAAATGAAAAAATTCACGAAATTTTTGTTCGTTTGTATCCAGGTGATTCTTCATTAGAATTTTAAAATATCCCTCTTCCTTGCGAGATTGGTACAATCTGTCAAAATCTTCTCGTTGACTAGACCACCATAATATCACTTCTTCATCTTCTTCTTCGTCCTCAAGTAAAATTATTTTGGCGAGATTTTTTGAATCCATGTTCACAATTTAGAGCACGACCCCTGACTGCCGAAATTTAGACGCTGCAACGAAATCGCTTGGCCGCAACGGTCAGCCGCAACGGCTAGCAGTTGCGGTCGACCGCGGCGGCGGGACGTCGCAACGAAATTGCACCTCAACACTGACTCACTATAATTTGTGTGATATACTATCTGTTTATATTTTTTAAAATATTTTCTTAGCACTTTCCTTTTCAAGATTCAGCAAACGAATAAACGTATTTGTCCCACATTCGTATTTATAGAGTGAGGAATTGAACAAGTCAGTGCAAGGTAGCGAAGCTCTGAGACTGCGACTCTCAGGTTTTTACAAGTTCAAAATGTATTGCGACCACAAAGCGAATACCAACATCCTAAAACTTACACAATTTTATAGACATATATAATACATTTTTTACTTCATAGGTACTTTTATAAATAATGGATATGTTTTGATATTATAAGATAGTATGATGTAAGTAAACAGGTACTATCAGTGTGTCTTGAGATCCACTATCGTGGACCCCCATATTCATTTCATGGACCCCCAAATTTTTTTTCGCTGACGTAGACCCCTTGCAGGTTGTCATAGATCCCTAGGGGTCGATATAGACCACTTTGGGAATCAATGTTGTAGACAATGAGACCAAATAACAAATGACATAACAAAACCATGTGTCTTATTAGGTTTGTGGGGAAAGGTCAACAAGCCAAAAAAATTGTTCAAGCATGAATGAGAATTATAAAAATGTTTGCTACAAAAAAAGCAACGGTGTACCACATTTTTCTTCAAAACTATCCACCTCAAATTAGTATCTACTGATTATATACCCGATTATAGCTGCATAATCCAACTGATCGGATTAAGGGAATATTCAGTATACACTGGTGCATCATGTAATTATTTTGATCCCGGAACACTAAATTGTATGTTGAATAAATCAAACAGGTTGACGTCCCATGCCAGCGATATTGGGTTACTCTGATAGATCGTACTTGTAACAGTGCTACTGTCCGCCTATTGCTGATCATCTAAATCACATAATACTTGCAACAATAGTCTCTATAAACAAATGTAACAAAGCAGTTCACCATACCAAAGATCAGCATGATGCAAAATTAGGCACAGGATAATGTGGTAGCGCAATGGCGGTCTTTGTGGACCCTGGCCAAGCGGATTGGGGGGAACTTCTCAAAGAATAGTCCTCCACCGCTTAGGTGCCAGGATGGAATGATTGTAACTGACTCAAATACTAAGGCGGAAATGCCAGCCACGATCGTTTCTGCTAACTCCACCATGGACGTCCCCCCAACGCTCGAGTGCCTTCGATTCACAGTGTTCCGTACACTAATAGGAAGTAACCTCCAAGCATAAGACCGTAAGACGCTCTTGTCGCTCGAAATCAACAAAGCCAAAGAAAGGATCCAAGGCCGATGCTTACAACTACACGCCTAAGGCGCTGCTTTCTGTTAGAAGTAAGGTGTAGAAGAGGTACATACATCGGGAGCTACTGGAGCATCTTGAACATTAGAGCTTGATTAGCGACAGGCAGTATGGTTTGCGGCACCAGCGGTCAACTGTGGACATCCTAGCTTACGTTACGCAACTGTAAAGTAAACTCATAAAGCCATACGGTGAGGGTCATGTCGTTGCTCTTGATATCACGAAAGCTTTCGATCCCCTGAGTCGTGCTACCCTCTTATTCAAACTTCGTACTATGAGAGCAATACTATCGTATGACAAAAATAGTAGATTTTGAGATAATCAATGTTTTATTTTGCCTAATATTTTTGAATTTTTTTTTGTATCGGCGCTGTTTAAAATAATGATGTATGATAAACTCAGATAATTCACTTAGGGTAATTCGAGAATAGATGGTCCAGGTTTTGAAATTTCATGATAAAATTTCTATCTGTTGAATTAGAATTACTGTTAATTTTTATAACGAGTCTTTATTGAGTTTAGAAACATGTATTAAGTAATAAAATGCATTAAAAATGAAACTTATAATTCACAAGAAAAATAAAAATAGTTGACAAAAACCATCTCCCCCACAGTGCTGAAGTGAGATGGCGCAACAAAGAAAAAGGTGTTTCTACCAAAATGTCACTTTGTTTTGCATATAACAACACCACAGTCGTGGCAAAAGTTTACAAACTTGGAGCAGGAATCGTGAAACCATTTGGAGCATCGTATGCAATTAACAAAGTCGTCAGATTTTGTGGTTTGGGAATATATTTCGCCACAACCGGTGCAAGTCTGGTCATCGCCGTCCATATCATCTGAAGAGTCATCCAATGTCGGTGCCTCTAGTCCTTCATCTGAGGATGAATCACTTTTGGCAGCTTTCCTTGTTTTCTGTTTAGTCACTTTTGGCTTCTTCAAAACCGGTTTTAATTTTCTGGTCTTTACTTTTCTCTCCTTCTCTGTTTTTTCTAGAAACTTCGTTCTTTTTTCACCAATTGTTGTCTCTGTAGTTAAAATTTCTGCCCGCTTCGAACCGAATTAACGTCAGCGGAAACAACTGGAACGGGTATCTAGCATTTTTCCGGGGCTACTTTTCACGGGAGTATTTGCATTAGTTTCTACAACCGATTCATTGTGTTTTTCTGGTACAGAATCATCTTCAGGCTGCCAACTGCAGCAAGGTTGTTGATCATCATGAGATAAGGCTTTGTTAAAACTTTGAGAACTATCATCTGGAATTTGTTTATTTTTGCTTGCATGAGGAGCCTCAAGTACGATGTTAATTTCAGTCAAATAGGCGTCATCTGGGATATCAGAAGGATTGAATGGCATAATTCCCGTAGTCTTGAATGTCGAAGTTCCATTATTTACAGTTACAGACTTGTTCCATCCTTCAGCAAGTAACTTTCAAATTGTAATCTAGTGAGCTTTCGTCCTGGATTATTTTTAATGTATAAATTGCAAGCTGAGTAGTAGTTTAATTTTAGCGATCTGAAAAAGCATCTATCTAGCGGCTGTAAAAAGTGCGTCATATCACTTGGTAAGCAAAGCAGTATGATGTTGTGTTCAACACAGTATTCTACCATCTCAACGTTATTGCAGTGTGAAGCATGGCCATCGAGCAGTAACAAAACTGCCCCTGTCGGCTTTCTGGGAACGAACTGACCGTCGAGCAGTAACAAAACTGCCCCTGTCGGTTTTCTGGGAACGAACTGATCTTTGAGCCAGTGAAAAAATATGTCACTGTTGACATAGGCCGATCTTTCAGACATGTAATGTAGACCAAGGATCCAGGAGGCATCCCATCCTCAAACTCTTGTTTTTTTATTTTTTCCTTTCATTACACTGGTTGGGGGAAAATACCTGCGATGTTCTTAGATCATTTCTTAACAATAGCATGTCCCGGCCTATTATTGAGTTGTAAGCCCGTCTCATCCGTATTGTAGATATGTCCAGGTTTATTCATAAGATCGTTCTCGATCAGAGCATTATTCAGCAGCTGAAAGTAAACCTCAAAGTCTTTTTTGTTCATACCCAGGGATCGATTAATGGAGACCGCTTCTGCTTTTCTTACTGACAGCCTTGGGTTTCTCTGCAGAAACAACTGCAGCCATGGAAAACCAGCTAATCTTAATTCCTTATTAAAATTATGTTTAATGCCCAGCTCTTCGGCCAATTTGAAAGCCATACTTCGCACATCGGTTCGAGTAGGAGAAAATCCGTTTTTTGGAAGTTTTAGGATATGTTTGGTCAACTTTTCTTCAGCAGCTTCGCCTAACGTGGAGGAGGGTCCAAGAGGGCCTTTCTTCACATTTTCTCTCAACTTTCTTCTTCGTAGAGTGGTTGTCGGTACCCCAAAATTTCGACCAGCCTCATTAACTCCCATTCTATTTTCATTAACGGCTTGAATGGCTTTGGCTAACTATTGTTCGGTCCAACTAGCCCTGGAACAACTTTCAGTGCGCTTGTATTTGGTAGGCATACTGAAAAGAAAAGGAATTATTAATAAGCCGTCTCACCTCGAAAATAAGTGAACCATCTATCCTCGTTGTGAGAGGAGAGATGGCGCACCTCAAAATCTAAACACGTTTTGAAATATGCGCAATTTTGAGGTTATATAACAAAACCTGAACGTTTTTACTTACCTGGCACAATATTGCGACTAAAATTATTATTAAATTTGAAGTTCACTAGCACGAAGAAGCAATTCGGAAAAATATTTTTGTACTATCCGGATCACGTATAAATTAATATTTAAGTAGATGTTTAGCCGATGAACACAAACGGTGAGGCGGCTTGCCTGATATAGACTAAAGTATATACATCAGAGCGCAGCTGCTCCCCTCTAACATTAGCGGTGGCGCTGTAAAACCATTGCGCCATCTCATCTTCTGCGCCATCTATCCTCGAATTACTACATAGATTTGTGTCAGCAGATTTTTTTGAGTTTCAATAAATAATAACTGATAATGAGATACTTGAAGTTAAGATAGTCTTGCAGCAGAGTGGCTGGAGGTAACGATACAAAATTTGCCATATATGATACTGGTTACTCAATGAAAATAAGATGCAAAATTTTTAAAAAAGCAATTTATTTAATACAATGCACATAACGTTGCAATACACAATACAATGCATACAGGCCCATGTGCTGCTGATTACCTACTCGGTTACTAACGAGTTTTTACCTTCAGTGTTTGAAATTGGGAGTACTTCATAAAATTCATGATACTCTTTTTTGATCAACTGCTTCTTGC